CCAGCAGGGCCGCGGGGCTGCTATCTCCGTGCTGATTAAACCTCCCCCTGCAGCCAGCACGGAGGAGGAGTGTCCGCAGCGGTACCGGTGTTAACTCTGCTGCTGCTGGGTGCCGATTCATTCAGCACAAGCCAAGGGCTGCCCTGCCAGCCCGAGTGCTGAAAGCAGCACAGAGAACGCCAGTGGGAAGATCTGCAGCCTGCTCACATCCTCCCTCCACATCTCCTCTGGCTCTCTGTGCCCTCAGTGCTCTGGGGATCACACCGCAGGGTAATCACGCATAGCAGAAGGGGGATGCCTGCAGCATAGCCCAGGAGCGGTGCTGTGCTGGTTCTGCACAATGCCTTCCCCTCTGTCCCTCAAGCCTGCAGCACCAGCCTTTGGCTCCCTGCTAGCAGTCCTACTGCTTGCTTGCGGTGTCATCTCCCATGCACGGGCCATCTCCAGCATGGGTGTCTGCTGGGGCATGAGTACCACAGGCCCCTGTTAATATAGCTAACCTTGAGCACATCCCTTTGGCAGCACTGGCTGGGCAATAAGCCGGCCCTTGCTGTCACATATCCACCCTGCTCCTTCTCTCACGCCTGCTCTGCAGGTCCTGAGACAATTTGCTAGTATCACTTTGGATTCTTCCCAGAATATACATTAACCTGTACCCTTTATGTTCTTTATTACTTTACAGGAGGAGAAAATGAAAGAGCCTGAAATACAGCTGGTTTTCCTGGTGAGGTCGGAGGAGAGCTGGAGTCAAACTCAGAGCAAACCCTGCAGCATCCAGCCCCACCACACACCAGCAACCAGGGCAGGAGCCCAGCTGAGAGCAAACTGCTGTGGGGTGGACAGAGCTGGAGAAGCAAAGTGTGGTCATGCAGCAGGAGCACTTCAACTAAAGCCTATAAAATCACAGAAGAGAGCCCTGGACATGCCCATTGCAGAGGGGAGACTGAGATGAGCTCTTAGGCAGAAGCTCTTCCCTGTGAGGGTGCTGAGGCGCTGGCACAGGGTGCCCAGAGAAGCTGTGGCTGCCCCATCCCTGGCAGTGTTCAAGGCCAGGTTGGACACAGGGGCTTGGAGCAACCTGCTCTAGTGGAAGGTGTCCCTGCTCGTGGCAGGGGTTGGAGCTGGATGAGCTTTAAGGTCCCTTCCAACACAAACCAGGCTGGGATTCTGGGATTTTATGCTATTTCAGCTGTGGACCACTGAAATGACCGCATAGGAAGGGCTGTGCTTATGCCATGGGGGGTGTGACTGATGGTACCAACTATGCAGTTTGCAGCCCTGTACACAGGTGCTTGGAGGGTTACAAAACTCCTGCAAGAGGAGAGAGCATGGGAAAACACGTCCAGGAGGCTGTCCTGAGTTTTCCACTTACTGAGAGAGGCGATGCAGCCTCTTCCCATCAGGCAGCTTCCTGTGGGCAGCTGAAGCCCAGCAAGGAAATGCCCTGGCTGCAGCAGCCCATACTGGGCAATGCTGGGTGGAGGGCAGCTGATGGGCTGGTGGGACATGGTGCTGCCCCGGCCTGGTGGCTTGGGATGTCCTGCCCACAGCAGTTGCTGCACAGCAATCATGCTGTCACTGAGCCTGGGGGCGGGGGGGAATTTCAGCTTCATGGGAGAGCCAAAGGCCAATGGGAAGGAAAGCAGAGGGTGCCTCCCAGGTCTGCAAACCACCTCCTCGCTGGCCCTGGGGCACCTGCCCTATGACATGGAAAGCAAGGAAGCCCTTTCCCAGCAGTGGGATGAACTATAGGCCCCTGCCTGGCGTTCGGGGACAGAGGGTTTGGTAGTGAGCTCTGAAGCCCTGCTGGGGAATGCACACTCCTCGAGACAGGGACTGCTAAAACTAAGGCTTGGCGACTCGTAATAGAACATTTTCAGTGTAAGGTGGCTTCTGAAGGACTGTGGAAGCGCTGGGCTTGTCCCACTGCTCAGGGGAGGATTGGTGTGATTTCTAGTTGGGGTTCTTCATGATGTGCCGCATGTACCCCAGAATTCATGGGGCTGTGCCTGGACCACAGCTCTGAGGGGAGTGCTGGAGGAGTGCAGCTGCTGTAGCTCCAGAGGAGCTTAAAAGCTACCTGCGTCAGAGAGCCCAGGATGCACGGACAAAACGGCTTTTTCTGCAGAAACTCTTTTTGTGATAGGGGACTTGGAAGCGATGATAATGGTGGCTGGGAGAGGGAAATACCATGAAGGGTTGACTGTGTCTGTACTGTGTCCACAGAGTGAGCCTGGCCTTGAGCCTGGTGGTCCCAGACTGAAACTCCAACAGGGAATATGCTCAAACTGGGCATCTGGATGGATGTGGGCTTGTGCTGGAGACTTCACCTTCGTCCGTGTGGTTTAGTAGTGCAGACTGAGTCCCTGCACTGCAAGAGCTGACTATGTCTTCCAGTGACTCTTTGGTTAATAACGATGCCACGCTGCAGCTTTCCACAACAGTGATTTTATACCCCATGGCTAAGGAAGCTCTGTTACATGTGCTGCAGAGTGCTGTGAGGGTGCCTAAGCGGGTTTGGGTGTGAAGCCTGCTGAGTAATGTTGGAGAGGTGTAGAGGGCATCCCTGCTGCCCACAGGATACAGCCCATGGAGGGAGGTGTCATCTGAATGCCTCCCGGGTTTCATCTTGGAGGAAAACAGCTATGTCCTCCCAGATGGAGTCACAGAAGAACCTCTGCCCTCCAGCGGTGTGGGCAGACTAACACCAGAGTGGGGAGCTGCAGCATAGATGTGCCCTTCAAAGCTAGGCTAGGGAGCATCCTTAATGGAAAATACACACCAGGACCAGCCACTTATGTCTGTAGAAGAACTGTTTGTGGCCTCTTTGCTGATGAGAACATTACATGGAGTGGCAGATGATGCTCATCAGTCCACAGGTTTGCATCTCCCGCAGTGTACAGCAAGCTAATAACAGTCCCAGGGAGTGCATTCAATCATGGAAAATACCATGGATCCCAGAGTGAGCTGTACCTGCTCACTGGCACCAGGCCACTGCTTCCCAGCTGAGGAATACTGTGCCAAGCGCAAGGTTACGGATTTTATCCTTTGGGTGCTCCTCAACAAAGGAAATGTTATGGATTGAGCCAACAACGGGTCTGCTGCTGGAGGTACAACCGTAGGCAGGCCAGAGACTCATGGAATCACCTTACTCCTTGGGAGACGCCAGGTCCTACCTGCTGCTCCAACAGGGCTGGTCGCTCAGGGGCTTGCCTGGTTCTGACTGTCTGCAAGGGCAGTGTCCCCCTGTGACACACTGCTGACGAGGGAGACATGGCTGATGCGGCATCACTGCCAATGGGGGAACACTGCAGGCGCGGGGGAACATGTCTGATGGGGGGGACGTGGGTGGGCACCACTGCTACGAGGGGACTCGGCTGATGGGGAGACCCCAGTGATGGAGGCGGCATGGCTGACGGGGAGACAGCAGTGGGGAAGAGGACAGGGCTGACAAGGAGGTCACGGCTGACGCGGGAGATGCCAGTCATGGGGGTGACAGGTGTGACATGGCTGACAGGAGGGGTATGGCTGGTGGGGGTAAACACGGCTGCCAGGGGGACACGGCTCACATGGGGACACAGCTAACAGGGGGACACGGCTGACATGGGGACACGGGTAACGGGGACATGGCTGACAGGGGGACACGGGTAATGGGGGGACATGGCTGACATGGGGACACGGGTAACAGGGACACAGCTAACGGGGGGACATGGCTGACATGGGGACAGGGGTAATGGGGGGACATGGCTGACATGGGGACACGGGTAATGGGGGGACATGGCTGACATGGGGACACGGGTAACGGGGACACAGCTAACGGGGGGACATGGCTGACATGGGGACACGGCTGACAGGGGGCGACAGCTAACGGGGGGACATGGCTGACATGGGGACACGGACACGGCTGACATGGGGACATGGCTGACAGGGGGACATGGCTGACATGGGGACATGGCTGACATGGGGACACGGCTGACATGGGGACACAGCTAACGGGGGGACATGGCTGACATGAGGACACGGCTGACAGGGGGACACAGATAACAGGGGGACATGGCTGACATGGGGACATGGCTGCCATGGGGACACGGCTGACATGGGGACATGGCTGCCATGGGGACACGGCTGACATGGGGACATGGCTGCCATGGGGACACGGCTGCCATGGGGACACGGACACTGCCGCCATGGGGACATGGACACGGCTGCCATGGGGACATGGCTGACAGGAGGACACGGACACGGCTGCCATGGGGACACGGACACAGCTGCCATGGGGACACGGACACGGCTGCCATGGGGACACGGACACTGCCGCCATGGGGACACGGACACTGCCGCCACGGGGACACGGCTGCCATGGGGACACGGACACGGCTGCCACGGGGACACGGACACTGCCGCCATGGGGACACGGACACTGCCGCCACGGGGACACGGCTGCCATGGGGACACGGACACGGCTGCCATGGGGACACGGCTGCCACGGGGACACGGACACGGCCGCCACGGGGACACGGACACTGCCGCCATGGGGACACGGACACTGCCGCCATGGGGACACGGACACTGCCGCCATGGGGACACGGCCGCCATGGGGACACTGCCGCCATGGGGACACGGACACTGCCGCCATGGGGACACGGACACTGCCGCCACGGGGACACGGACACTGCCGCCACGGGGACACGGACACTGCCGCCATGGGGACACGGACACTGCCGCCACGGGGACACGGACACTGCCGCCATGGGGACACGGACACTGCCGCCAGGCCACTTCGCCGCGGCCCCGCAGCCGGGTGCCGCCGAGCCCCCGTGTGCTCACGCTTTTCGCGCCCCCCCGGGCTCAGCGCGCCCGTGCTCCGCGGTCCGTGCCGCAGCGGGCGGGCTCTGGCGCTCTGCGGGCGGTGCTGCTCCCCCCCGCCCCCGCCGGCAGCGGGAGGCCTGGCCGCTGCCTCGGCCGTCCCCGCCCTCCGCCGCTCCCGCCCCCGGCTCCGCGGCTGTTTAAAGCGGGCTCGGAGGGCTCCTGCCCGCCCAGAGCCGTCGGCGCTCCGCCATGGGACAGGAGCAGGCCCGGACCTACCCGCCGCGGCCCGAGTGGCTGCCGGCCGCGCACGTCCCGTCGCTGGCCCAGTACGAGCGCCTGTACCGGCGCTCCGTGGAGGACCCGCACGGTGAGCGCCGCGCCGGGAGCCCCGGGGAGGGCCGCAGCGGGGCCGGGGGTGCCGGGCGGGCCGGAAGGGGTGAGGCCGTGTTGAGCCCTCCAAGCGTGGGGTGCGGGAGTGCGGGGCTGCCGCGCGTTGTTCCCGAAAGCGCTGTCCTCCTTACCCGAGCCTGTTTCTGGGTCACGAGCTCTGGCCGTTGCCTTTGCAGCGTTTTGGGGTGACATTGCTAAACAGTTCTACTGGAAGACTCCGCACACGGGGCCCTTTCTGAAGTACAACTTCGATGTGACAAAGGGGAAGGTCTTCATTGAGTGGATGAAAGGGGCGACCACTAACATCTGTTACAACGTCCTGGATAGAAATGTCAACGAGAAGAAACTTGGGGACAAAATTGCTTTTTACTGGTAAAGTTTTGGCTTTATTGTGGTGCAGAAGGTGTGTGTCATGCTGAAGTGTCTAAACAAAGTTGCTTCCCACTGAGGTGAATTAAAACATGGTCAAACCTGAGGGGCTTTAACCTTTAGATAGGGACGGCAGGTGTTTGCTTTCAGTGTTTGAGAGGAGTTGTGCAATAGAGCTTCTCTGCCCACCCTGGGTGAACTGGAGTGGCCCAGCATAGCCACGGGCAGCTCCTGACTTCCAGCTCTGCCTTTGCACTTGAACCTGCTAAAAGCTAAAGTCAGATGTTATTGAGGCAGGTACCACAACTCCTTTGTGATGCAGGCGGAGAAATGGGATGAGGCAACAACACCCAACAGCAAAAAGCTGATAAACCCCATGTTTTCTGTCTTCACGTTCTGTGGGTCTGGCACTCTTCTGTGGCAGAAAGATTCTCCTAAAACCTGAATGTATCCATTGATTCATTTACTGTGGTGAGTAGCTCCAGAGAGGAGCCCCCAACACCAGAGTGAGGGGAAACGGTGTCCAGGAGCCTCAGAACTGAGTGGTGAGAGCCATTGAGGGAGCCTGAAGCCTGAGGGACGGCACCAGCCCTGAGTGGGTAAAGCATGGCCCGGGGAGTGCAGCCAGGGCAGACAGTCAGGGTGTGGTGTGGCAGTTGGTGCAGGCAGGGGGGTGGTGAGTACTCTCCTTTGGGAGCTCTGCTCTGCCTGCCCTGGTTCTGGCAGCAGGCAGACCTGATGAGAGCAGAGGCTACAGTGCAGAGCTCCAGGTGCAGAAAGCTCCTTCACTGGTCTCTTAGGGCAAGGGTACACTGGTGCAGGGGCTCCTGGTGGAGGTGCTTGTGCAGCAGGTGGCTGAGGTGTGGGAGACTGTCAGTAGGCTAAGAGATACCAGGGAAGCTGAGAGGGAGCTGGACTGCTTGCTCCAGAACCAAACTGTGCAGGGGCCAAAAGCATCCACCATAGCGCATGGAGAAAAGGAGGGCAGTAATCCAGGAAGCTGGGAACTAGTAACTAAAAAGAGAACCCAACAAAAAAAGGAGGAAGAGAACAATTAAAAGCAAGGGGCTTCCTCCAAAATCCACTGTCCCCACCCAGAACCGCTCTGTAGTTCTGCAGGGTACTAATAAGGTAATGCATACCGCACCAAATGAACATCCTGCTGATGCACCAGTAAAGAGGCTAGAATCATAGAATAGTTAGGGTTGGAAAGGACCTTGAGATCATCCAGTTCCACCCCCCCTGCCATTGGCAGGGACACCTCACACTAAACCATCTCATCCAAGGCTCTGTCCAACCTGGCCTTGAACACTGCTAGGGATGGAGAATTCACAACTTCCTTGGGCAACCCATTCCAGTGCCTCTCCACCCTTACAGTAAAGAACTTCTTCCTTATTTCCGATCTAAACTTCCCCTGTTTAAGTTTGAGCCCATTACCCCTTGTCCTATCCCTACAGTCCCTAATGAATAGTCCATCCCCAGCATCCCTATAGCCCTCACTACTAAGTGCTTCCAGGAAAGAGTGGCAGGTCATAGTAGTAAGTGACTCTACTTTGAAAGGCACAGAGGCACCCATCTGTCGGCCTGATCCAGTCTTGAGGGAGGTGTGTTGCCTATCAGGGGTGTTGCTGAGAGGCTGCCTGTCTCGTAAGTCCCACTGACTTATCCACTTCTTGTGGTCCATGTGGGTGCTTGTGCTACTGACAGCAGTAGCCTGGGAATCATAAAGAACTACAGAGCCCTGCGAGAGGTGGTTAGAGGTTCTGGAGCTCAGATAGTTTTCTTCATTGATCCTCCAAGCCAAAGGCATCGGTGTTGGGACTGATCTTGTCTTACATTCCTTTGATTCTCCTCTCCATCCCATCTGGGGAGGCAGGATGAGAGGGGTGAGCTGGTGACAAGTCCAGAGGAGACCATGAGAGTGATCAGGAGGCCAGGAGAAGAGAGGTTGCGAGGAGACCTCAGAGCAGCTTCCAGTGTCTGAAGGGGGCTACAGGGATGCTGGAGAGGGACTTTTCATCAGGGACTGTAGTGATAGGACAAGGGGTGATGGGTTCAAACTGAAACAGGGGAAATTTAATTTAGATATGGAAGCTCTTTACTGTGAGGGTGGTGAGGCACTGGCACAGGTTGCCCAAGGAAGCTGTGAATGTGCCATCCCTGGCATTGTTCAGGGCCAGGTTGGACAGAGTTTTGGGTGGCATGGTTTAGTGTGTGGTGTCCCTGCCTATGGCAGGGGGTCGGAACTGGATGACCTTAAGGTCTTTACCAAGCCAAACTGTTCTGTGATTTTATGATTCCTTGCACTTGAACGCATATAACACTGATGATTTTGGAAAGGCTGGCTTCTCCGTATTCCTTTTGGGAGGAAAAGTTAACTTCCAGCCTTAAGGATGTGTGTATATTTTTACTGGAATAGTTGCTAGCGTTAAAAGCCATGTGGAACTTGGAATTTTCATACTAATGCAAAATAGGCTTCCCTAGTGATGTCCAAGATGCAGAACTAATGCTCCCTTGTTGACCTAGCCTGGGTATGACTGTATGTGGTAGAAGAGAAGCACAAGTAAATGTGCCACTCATTAGGGATGCAATAACTTGGGTTGTGGAGAGTCCTTTCAGCAGAGCAGCTGGAGAAGTCTTACTGTCACTGCAGTAAGAATGCCATATCCCCTAATGATGAACAACTGTGCTGCTCAAAGTGATTTTGTGCAGCTGAAGGGTACCAGTGACCTGGTGTAAGGGGGACTAGGAGCTACCCCCCTACAGAAAGAAGGAACATGTTTATACCCGTGGAGTTCTGGCTGCGACTGTAAAATTGGATTCACATTGGAGTTTCCATCCATAGAACTACCACTTAAGTAAAAGAATTACATGTACTGTTTGGCAAATAATCATATTGATATACTTGCCACAGGTGAAATGGTGGCAGCTGCTTCCTTCCCTGCTAGTTAAATATGTTCTCTAACTCACCTGGTTGTAAAGCGACTGCAGCTTCTGATGGAAAACTCCTTTGTAAACTCATGCAGGTGTGCCAGCAAACAGAGCCCTTTGGCAGTGCTGGTAGCTGGGCTGGAGTTTATGGAGGGAGCGAGTGCATTGTTCTTCTTACCTGTAAATCTCTGGGTGACACGTTGGTGCCAGCCTACAGCTTGGTAGTTACTCTGGCAGCCTTTGAGGGGTGTTTGTGATGCTGAGCGAAGCTTGGAGTGGGTATTAAAAGGGTGGGTGTGGACAGTCATGGTGTTCACAGAGCTGAAAACAAGGTCTCTTCCTCCTTAGCAGCCAGTTTCCCCTGACTACTTCAGGATAAATTCTAGCGTGGTTCTGTCACCAGCGACCTGGCACTGGGGTGTCTGAAGCTGTTAGCTGGGAATGTCATGGGGAGGGATGGAGGAGGCATGTTAAATGGGATGTGTGTGCTACTGACCTGTGAGCTTGTGGCACTGAGGTCTTAAGGAAGCAGAGCTATAGGTTGCAGCTCATAAAATTAATCTTCTAGAAGTGTGCATGTGCCTTTCTGGACACATGTTCTTCAATAACAAAGTGTAGTTGCTGTTGTCTTGGCCTTTCACATTTTGCTTTGACTCTGTTGAATGAGCCCACTTTCCTAAACCACTTGAAACTTGTCACACTGTATGGAAGGTCAGAAAAGAAATGAGAGCCTCAAAAAGCCAAAGAGGATTCCTGGGGAAGGCTTTGGGGGGTTTAATACCTTGGCTGCTTGCTTTTAAGAAAATCTGTAGCTTGCTGGATGGGGAAGGGTGCTGGTGTTGTACCAAGGTGTCTGACTGCCCACCTCTGAGAGCTTTGAAAGGATACAAGAGCTTTGCAAGTTAGAGGAGATCTTTGCTTTCAGAGAGGAAACATTGGGGGAAGAGAGAAATAATTTTTCAAGGCACTGCTTGGTGTCTCTGAGATGTGTCCTGGCAGAGCTCAGCTGCTGCATGGCCCTGACTGGGCCTGTCTCAAGTGTTGTGTGGACAGGAAGGAACAAGCAGTTCATCTGGATGTGTTCTGGCCAAACTGCTTTGAAGGCTCCTGCACCACTAGCAGTCCAGGATTGCCCAAACTGGCTCTACTCAGAGGGTCTCATCCCAAGCCACATGGAATTGCTCTTTCAGCACTAAGGGTGGTACATGGCACTGCTTTGTGCTGCAGAACTTGTATATAGGTGACACTTCCTGTTGTGGTACCCTCCTTTTGGTGCTGTTAGGCGTGTTTAGTTCACAATGACCATCCTGAGTTGGTAGGAAACGCATTTTGCCTGTGACCTGTTTCACTGTGGTCTCTCTTGCTGCTTATGAACGTTACAAGTATTTCTGTTTCTGCTGCTTTTGATTCCTCTTTCTGTGGTACTGATGTTGGCCTAAAGAGGAACAGAAGCTCCAGGAAATGTTTCTGTGAAAGTGCTGCTCTCAGAAGTGCAACCTGCTTCATAATTGAAGGGAAAGGCCGAAGTCGGTAACACTGTGGTTACTGTGCAGGTAGATCCCTACTTTGTCGGGCTCACAGCTGGAATGAACAAACTAGCTGGGACACTCAGGGGACTTGCAGGAGTGCTGAGGACTTGGTCTATGGTGGGCAGTGTAAACTGGAGGAGGAGTACAGTGTGTCTACCATGCTCTGGGCATACCTGTGCCATGTGGACTAACCTGTACTTCTGTGCTGAAGAGCTATTGTTAATTCCCTGTAAACATCAGCCTGGGCAGCTTGTGGAAGGGAAAACAGAACCAGGTGGGAATTCAAATAGCACAGCATTTACTACAGACCCTCCCTAATGAGACCCTGGGGTGGGAAGGGACCTGCATGAAGCCTGTTCTTGGTGTTTCAGCTGTGTGTGGGTTGCATGAAATTCTTGCCTTTGTTTCACCCCACCTGCAGCACTGGTGCTGCCTAGTGGGAGCAGGGAAGGAGGTAGAGCTTTGGACACTGTTACTAACCTAGGTGCTGGCTTCTGCCATCACCGGGAGACTGATAATCTTTCTTCTGTATGCATATGAAAT